CATCGAATGTCCATGTCAGCACTAGCCGAAACTACGTGTGCAGTTTGCAACATTCGAAGTCCCATGCAAAAGTCGAAATCAGTACCTGTCTCAAAAATTACTAGCACTGAATTACTCAAAGTTTCAGACGAAACTAAAGCTCTGATCATGGGTTCCCAGTTAACGAATTTACAGTACATAAATGAAGGCACCGTAACTACTGTTAATACTGGTGGTATACAAACGACTGATCATGCTCAAAGTAATATACATTTATTCTTGATTGAATATTTCTTCAATAACCGTTTATTATTTCAGCTTCCAAGTCACCATCTTTTTATTGTGAAAACAATATTATTTTATATACTAGTGGCTTATTTCAACAGAACAAGAAGAATATGTGCACACTCTGTCAAAAATGCCATGATGCTTTAACGAAAAACCACATTCCTAAATTTTCTGTTGCCAATGGCATGTGGTTTGGCGACATTCCTGCTGAATTACAAGGCTTAACAATTCCAGAAGAAAAGCTAATATCACTTTATCGTCACAATAGTTGTATAATAAAACTTCAATCACCTTTCCATTCAGCTACAACTTCGCAAACAGCTTTAAAAGGCAACTGTATTACTTTTCTGCAAAATGTACCGGACATTGTCAGCAGTCTACCACTTAAACTCAATGATCTATGTGATACAATAAAAGTCATTTTTGTTGGCTCTCTTCCTCCTCAACGTATTCATCTTAGAAAAATTTTAACAGTGCGAAAGAAAAAAATTATTCAGGCTTTACAATGGTTGAAGAAATATAATATTCTCTATCAGAATATTGAGATAAATCTTGAGAATATTGCTCAACTACCTGAAGACGACATACCAGAATCTATTATGTCAACAATGGAACAAAAGATAAGTGATGAAGAAATTCAATCTGAAAGAGTTGGCTATGTTCCTGATCCACTATCTAATTTAACTGATTACACAAGCTCAGATACTATTCCCATACAGAACAGGTAAGAATAAATATTTAATTTAAAAAAGTAACATTTTCAATCTTGTCATTTTCAGTAGCGTTTTCGACGTCAATGACTCTTTGGTATCTTCAGATGAAATTGCAAATTATGTTTTGCAAAGAATGAAAAATAACAAAACACACCAACAAATGAACAGTGAAAGAGTTCATTTAATCCCTCATTCTTCAAAACCTGTTAATGAGTGTTATAATCCAAAATTATTGATAGGTTTGTATCCTACTCTGTTTTGTTATGGACGTGGTGCACCTGACGATCAATCACGTCCTGTTAAAACAAATTTACGAGAACATATACGCTACCTATTATCCTACAATGATCGACGTTTTGAAACGAATCACAGCTTTATATTTGTGGTCTTCAATATATTGCAACGACGTAATGCTTGTTTTCATGCTCAAATAATCACAACGAAACCTTACTTTCGAGAATCAGCCCAGGATATCCAGACTTTAATCAGTAAAGACATCGAAACCGCTCTCGAGAATATTTCCAAAAAAACATATAACTCAGAATCAAACAGTGCATTAAACAAATTATTAAATCATATCAAAACCATCGGTGGTCGAGTTATGGGCTCCGCATATTCACGCACGGCCTTACGAACTCGCATTCATTCGTTAATATATAATCAATGTCTACCTAACATCTTTATGACGTTAAATCCAGCCGATATTCATAGTCCCATAGCACTATATTTTGCGGGTGTCAAGCTCGATTTGGACAACATACAGATGGAACAATTGCTCAATACTTACAAAAGAGCTGAAATAATAGCATCTCATCCTGTAGCTACCACCAAATTTTTTCATTTGTTAATCACCAATATCTTAAAGACTATAATTGTTGACGGTGTTCTTGGGCCAATAAAGGCTTATTTCGGTACTGTTGAAAGTCAAGGACGAGGTTCTCTTCATCTACATCTTCTTATTTGGCTTGATCATGACATGAAACCGGCTGGTATGAAAGAGCAAGTTCAAAATTCTACTTTTCGTGAGAAGTTGAAAGCGTATCTAGAAGATATTATCAAAGAAGATCTAGATGAATTCAAAGACAAATATGTCTTCGAGAATTCAGATGGTATATAAGATTCTTTTTTAATTTAAATATCACATTCTGTTTTTATATTACAGCATCAAGGTCATTCAATACTCCAACACAATTATCAAGAGATAATATTTATACAGCTTTACGTACTATTGATTTGGCAGGTTTAGAAGAAAATACAAATGAACATGGTA